TAGTTGTAGGCTAAAGAAATGATTTTGTTCTGTTTTTTTGTTGTTGCAGACCATGATGTTGAATGACAGAATCCAGAACTTGAACACGCTTCAAAGCGTGCTAAGGAAGGCTGAGGAGTACCTCAGCAAACTCCCTCCCGAAACATCGTACTCCGAATTCGAATACTGGTTCCAAGAGATTGGGCTGGAGAGGGGATGGGGAGACACCGCGGAGAGGGTGATGGAGATGATTTGCATGCTTCTCGACCTCCTAGAGGCCCCTGATTCTTGCACTCTTGAGAGGTTCTTGGGGAGAATCCCTATGGTTTTCAATGTCGTGATCCTTTCCCCTCACGGCTATTTCGCCCAAGAAAACGTGTTGGGCTACCCAGACACCGGTGGCCAGGTGGAGTTATAACTAATACCCCTTCTATTCCATATTAACCGTCTATTAAGATTTTCTTGGTACATTGAAACATGAATGAATGTAGACATAGAGTATGCCTACCTTCATTCATTTTTCAAATTTTCAAGAAAGTCATAATGGGCATTTAATATGGAATGGAGGGAGGATGTGATTATCTTCGTTCACCAAAATTGATATGCTCATTTCTCATTTACCATTCATCAGGTTGTTTACATTTTGGATCAAGTTCCAGCATTGGAGCGGGAGATGATCAAGCGCATCAAGGAGCAAGGACTTGATATCAAACCGAGGATCCTCATTGTTAGTAGTTTTGACTTTTCTTGAAGATTCAACTTCAGCACATGATACTATAGATGTTTTTTTTTTGTTTGTTTTTGTTTTAACACATGATGTTTTTTTTTTAAATTTAAAAAAAAAAAAGATAACTAGGCTGCTCCCGGATGCAGTTGGGACGACGTGTGGGCAGCGCCTTGAGAAAGTGTACGGGGCGGAGCACTCTCACATTCTGAGAATCCCTTTTAGGAATGAGAAGGGAATTGTTCGAAAATGGATCTCCCGGTTCGAAGTCTGGCCATACATGGAGACTTTCACCGAGGTAAAATCGAGTGATTTTACCTCTTTTTTTTCTTCTTCTTCTGGTTTTGTATGGTTTTTGCTAATACATGTTGGTTTTGTTTGGAATGTTATTTAAACTACAGGATGTTGCAAAGGAGATCACTGCTGAGCTGCAGGCCAAACCAGATTTGATCATTGGAAACTATAGCGAGGGAAACCTTGTTGCCTCCTTGCTGGCTCACAAGTTGGGCGTCACTCAGGTCTGTCAAGAAATCAATTCAACCCAAAGTTCAAATCTGTGATTTTAAACCCAAGAAAGGTTTTTTAACCGTCGTGATTCTGCAGTGCACAATTGCGCATGCGTTGGAGAAGACGAAGTACCCGGATTCCGACATTTACTTGAAAAAGTTTGATGAGAAATATCACTTCTCATGCCAATTCACTGCTGATCTCATTGCCATGAACCACACTGATTTCATTATCACCAGCACCTTCCAAGAGATTGCTGGAAGGTATTGTTATTACCTCCTTTGCTTATGTTTAATGCTCTCCAAACTCACTGAAATCTCCTTTTATTTTAACACTAATCATTGTTTGGTTTTTTAGCAAGGATACAGTTGGACAATACGAGAGCCACCAGGCTTTCACAATGCCGGGACTCTACAGAGTTGTCCACGGAATTGACGTTTTTGACCCCAAGTTCAACATCGTCTCCCCTGGAGCTGATATGAACTTGTACTTCCCCTATTATGAGAAGGAGAAGCGACTCACCGCCCTTCATCCTGAGATTGAAGACTTGTTGTTTAGTGATGTTGAGAATGAAGAGCACCTGTAAGTTTTTTTTTTTTTTTTTGGCAAATTGTCAACCGGTTATATTCAAAATTACCCTGTTGTCCACTAGAAATGTCGTTCGAATTCAGTCTATTAGTTTGGTTTGCCCCAAGTGGGTCTTATGACTTTTGGTTACCAGATGTGTGCTCAAGGACCGGAAGAAGCCAATCCTATTCACGATGGCTCGGTTAGACCGGGTGAAGAACTTGACAGGACTGGTTGAGTGGTACGCGAAGAACCCAAAGCTAAGGGAACTGGCAAATCTGGTGGTGGTCGGCGGCGACAGGAGGAAGGAATCCAAAGACCTGGAGGAGCAGGCGGAGATGAAGAAGATGCACGAGCTGATCAAGACCCACCACCTGAACGGGCAGTTCCGGTGGATCTCGTCGCAGATGAACCGCGTGAGGAACGGGGAACTCTACCGGTACATCTGCGACACGCGTGGGGCCTTCGTCCAGCCCGCATTCTACGAGGCGTTCGGGCTGACCGTGGTCGAGGCCATGACCTGCGGTCTGCCCACTTTCGCCACCAACCAGGGCGGCCCCGCCGAGATCATTGTGAACGGGAAGTCCGGCTTCCACATCGACCCGTATCGCGGCGAACAAGCTGCGGACCTCCTTGTAAACTTCTTCGAGACGTGCAAGAAGGATCCTTCCCATTGGGAGGCCATTTCCGCCGGCGGCCTCAAACGCATCCAGGAGAAGTAAGAAGCCGTTGCTGAATCATAGAACTCAAGAGTTATTTCCATCCTCCTAAAATGTCAACCTGATACGATGTTTTCTTCGTTACGATTTAGGTACACATGGCAAATATACTCGGACAGGCTGTTGACGCTGGCGGCAGTGTATGGGTTCTGGAAGCATGTTTCCAAGCTGGACCGGCTTGAGACGCGTCGGTATCTGGAAATGTTTTACGCGCTCAAATACCGCAAGCTGGTGGGTTATTTCCTTTGATAAATTCCTTTCTTGGACTTACAATTGTAAGTTTGAGCTTTTGTTTGAATTGGTTCTTTTGTCTGTTAATAACGCATTTCGTTGCACCGTGCAGGCAGAAGCGGTGCCTTTGGCTGAGGAGTGATCCGAAACGAATCTCGTTTGCTCCGGCGGAATAAAAGAAAATCAATTAAAGAGTTTCCTAATTGGAAGAGACTTCTTCTTCTTCATTGTTCATGTTATGTAATTTCTTTGTTTGCACTCTTCACCAGGCAGAAGGTGAAGATTGTTGTGTTTGGTTTCTGTTGAATTTTCTCTTGGATTATGTTCAGGGGACAATTGTGGAAATTTAACAGTTCTAAATTGTTGGCTTGAATTCAAAATTTTTACATTTCCTAACATGTTTTTTTTTATCATTATCTACTTTTCATCTTCTTTTTTAACAAGATGATGTTTCGTAAATCTCGACTAGTAAACCCCAACATGATTAAGATTATGCTCCGGAAAGCATTTGGTGTCCTAGTTCTAACATTTAGGAGGGTGCATTGACTGTAGAGTATGTAGAATTTTTATGTTTTTAAAAATTTTACAGGTCAATCAAAATTTTAAAGAGGCATTTAAGTGTTCAAAAAAAAATCATTTAAAATGTCAATGTATTCAATTATATTAGATTTCAAAATGAATGTCTGGGCCCGCCCATATGCATGTTTAGAAGGTTCATTTGTACAGGGCTTCCAAATTTATGAGCCCCAATTATTCACTACGTACCATACATAGATTTTTTCCTGATGTCAGCCCAATATGTGTTAGCAAAATTCCTGTTCTATGACCATGCTTTAAAAAAGTGTTTTATACTTCTCCCTCTTTTGTTTTGGAGGAATTTGTGTTTCGAAATTATCTCAAGTTTTCACTTTTTTCATAATTTCTAAATTGTTCTATCTTAAATTAGTTTCTTATTTGAAGTGTAAAATCTCATTTATATTTCTCTTTTAAAGTGAATAATATTTCTCTTACATGCTCCAAAAGAGAAAATGTCATTTGTTGCATAATCATTCTTAATACTCCGTATGTTTTAGCATCATTATTTTGCAAGTTATGGTTTGACTTTTCAATTCCTTTATTAAAAACTTGGTTACTGTATACGTATTACCGAGTATTTTTTACTCCTAAAAATTGATTATCCTTCATCCATGAAAAAACTAATTTGTCATGTTAATTTGTTCTTAAAAATGGACTTGTATTTTTAAATATCTTATATCATTGTTCATTATTTGATGATTTTAGGGTCAATATTTCTAAATTGCACAGAGCCTTTGAGACTAATTGGACGGGCCTAGATTTAATGGTAATAAAATTCTATGAATTCTCAAAGAGTTTAAAAAAAAGATGGATTGTGATCAGTTTTAGTTCCTTAGGTATAAATAGAAATCTATTTAGAAAACTTCTTAAAAAAGATTTTACTGAGTTTATGCCTGCTACACTTGTCTCCATATCTCTAATGTGCATTGGAGACAATTACTCTGTTGCGCGTTTATGTAATCTATAATTTATAAAAATATGACATAAGTTCTTTAAAATTTATATTGAGTACACCCCTTATATAAATTTAGAACTATGATTGCCAATTAAAGAAGTCATAGAGACGATAACAAATTATAATTTCTCAATCAACACTTCATGTTTACTAAGAAACTAGGAGGCTTGATTGATAATAATATCCGTTCGGCCTAATGGAAGAATATGGGTTGGTCTTTGAGAGAAACCACTAAGGAATTCCAACCCTATATTAAGGATAAATAGCTAAAGTTGAATTTTGAATAGTGGTTACGAAAGCAGTGTGCTTATCCCATGTTTCTAGTTTTGGATTTCCTCTCTTCCACATGTGTAAACTAGGTCATCCATGTACGTAGTTGTAGTTAGTTGCTTACTCATGTATATAAATAGTCCCACTCATGTTAATAGAAAACATTTCATTCTGCAATACTCTGCACCTTATACCCTATGCTCTTATTTTACTACTTAAGGGCGCAAATCTAAAAAGAAGGGAGGGTCTCCCTCTACATTCTCTCGATACTATTCAACATTACATCTTTCGAGCTCCATCAATGCCTATCACGCTAATATGTTGTACATATATACTCCCGAAATATAATAAAACACCTCCATTGACATGGTACCTCAAAAAAGGTTGTGATTTTCACTAATTTGGTTTCCATTTCAAAGTATATTGTATATGCTCTTATTTATATATTTCTTATATTTTACACATATATTGTATGGACCAAAAAATACACACCCGGTCTTCTATGCACCTTATATGGTATCAGAGCCTACACTTTAAACAGATCTTTTTTTTCTATACGCATCCTGCTTCCTCTCTTCTTCAACCTTTACTGATGACTACCTCTGGGTTAGGCTTCGTGGATTCTAGTTCGACGACTTTGCCGGATCTTATCCGCATGTCCGCTTCCAAGCACTTTCCCATCAAATTAACCAAAACCAATTATCTTGTTTGGCGTCGTCAGGTCCAAACTACTCTCGTTGGTCTCAACCTTCTTGGTTATGTTGACGGCTCAGTTCGAGCCCCGTCTCCCTTTTTGGATGCTGCCCACCAGCAGCCCAACCCGGTGTATACCCTTTGGTATCGTCAAGACGATATTCTTCTCAGTGATCTTATTGGTAGCTGCACCGAAGACGTTCAGCTGGTGATTTCCCTTGCCGATGCATGGTCCCGGTTGACAAAAAGCCTTGCTAATATGTCTCGCGAGCGTATTAGTTCGCTGAAATCTCAAATGGCGAAAAACCCCCGCGGCAATCGCACCATTAATGCTTTTGTGGCGGATATGACGACAATTGCATCTCACCTTGCTTTGGCTAGAAGTCCCGTAACTGACGAGGACCTTTCGGTGCATATTATGTCGCAACTTGGAGAAGATTACTCTGCCCTCTATCAATCCTTGCGAGGAAGTAATGTCGATCTCTCCATTGATGAACTCACCACTATCTTGAAGGATTGTGAGCGGGAAATTCTTAGCCGATCCACTGCCTCGGCCGACCTTGTTCCCACAAGAAATCATGCCCAGCGCATCCGCGATGGTGATCGTAGAGGAGCCTTTGGTCGTGGCGGTCACTCTAGCGTCTCTCGAGGAGGCATGCGTGGACGAGGCACCACCAACCCTAATCGTGGTGGTCGCTATTGTCACTTCTGTGATCTAATCGTGGTGGTCCGGATGAAATTCGGTTGGGTAACGGTAAGACTTTAACTATTTCTCACACTGGTCGCTCCACTCTACCTACCCGTTCTCGTCCACTCACCCTGTCCAATGTTTTATGTGCTCCCTCTCTCCATAATAATCTCTTATCTATGTCTCAATTATGTCGAACTAATCGAGTTTCGGTTGAATTTTTTTCTGATCATTTTTTTGTCAAGGATGTGTGTACGGGGATGCCTCTGCTTCGGGGAGCAATCAGAAATAATCTTTACTACCTTCCATGTATGGAGCCGTGCGTGAACACTACCTCCGTTGCCGTCTCCTCTGTTGTTGATCTTCATCATCGTTTAGGTCACCCCAACAATAAAACTTTGCGTACCATTGTACGCCGATGTCCGTCCTTTTCCAGTTTTCCTGATGTTTCTAAATTCTCTTGTTCCTCTTGTAACATTAATAAAAGTCATAAATTTCCCTTTTCCATCAATACTTTGACTAGTAGTGCTCCTTTGGATCTTATTTATACTGATGTTTGGAGTACCACCGAGTGCTCTTTAGATGGCTATTATTATTATGTCATCTTTGTTGATCATTATACTAAATACATATGGTGGTACCCCCTGGCTCGTAAATCTGATGTGTTCACCATTTTTCCTCAATTTAAACGCTTGGTGGAAAATTATTTTCAATGTTCTATCAAAAGTGTTTTTTCCGATAATGGTGGTGAGTTCTTTAAGCTTGTTCCCATGTTCAACTCTCATGGGATATCTCATTTTACCATTCCCCCACATACACCTGAGCACAATGGTACCACAGAGCGTCGACATCGTCATATTGTTGAAACCGGTATGTCCCTTCTCCATACGGCTGGTCTCCCTTTAAAGTTCTGGTCATATGCCTTTCACACGGCTGTCTATCTTATCAACCGTCTACCCACTCCACTTCTCTCTCACAAATCGCCTCGTGAAGCCCTCCTCTCTCCTATTCCAGATTATAGCAAATTAAAGCCCTTTGGGTGCCTATGCTATCCCTGGTTACGTCCTTACCATAACACTAAACTATCCCCTCGATCCAGACCGTGTTTATTTCTTGGCTACAATAATTCTCAATCAGCGTATAAGTGTTATGATTATGAGGTTGGGAAGGTATATCTCTCACGCCATGTCAAGTTTGAGCCACTTATATTTCCATATGCTACTATACAACCCCGTGTGCCATCTTCTCCTCCCTCTCCACTGCCTGTTCTCCCTCCCTCACGCAACTCCTCTTTGTCTCCTCTCATTTCCACTCCAGCTGTACCCCATCCACATTCCCCACCACGTCCAAATCCTCCATCATCCATAATTCCCCATGAAAATGTCACGTCACCCACCCCCCATTTTTCCTCACCTTCTGCCACAATCAATTCTCACCTCTCTCCCACTAATTCTTTTTCACAGCTACCTTCGCCCGACCTACTCCCTCAGCCTACTTCAGTGCCCTCACCCAGTAGCCATATTCCTGCACCTCGGCCAGTTCGTGAGCGAAGGTTAAACTCTCGTACCTTTAATGATCATCTTGTTAATCATATTTCATCTGTTGCCATAGATACACCGCTAACGTACACGCAGGCGCGTAAGGATTCTAATTGGCGGGCAGCTATGGATGCTGAGTACTCGGCTCTCCAGCGCAATCATACCTGGGTCGTCCAGGCAGGCAATCAACATTGCTCAAACGCGGAGCTTTCCACTCCTTCAACATGTCCACGTTGTTTCATTTAGCGTTTTGTAAATTATATACTAACTATACAAATACACCTAAAAATTTATATATATAGGTAAAAAAATTTAAAATTTTTTTTTGGGTCGCTTGACCCCGTATGACTCAACGTGGGTCCGCCCCTGCTGGGAGCTTGTACCTCGTCCATCTCGGCGGCCCATTCAGTGCAAATGGGTGTTCCGCATTAAACGAAAACCAGATGGCAGTGTTGATCGGTATAAGGCGCGCTTGGTTGCCAAGGGCTTTCTTCAACAACCGGGGTGTGATTATTACGAGACATTTAGTCCTGTCACCAAGCCGGTGACGATCCGGCTTATTATCTCCCTTGCCTTGCGTTTTGGTTGGTCCCTACGTCAACTTGATGTCAATAATGCCTTTTTAAATAGTACTCTTCATGAAGATGTGTACATGGAGCAGCCGTCTGGTTACAAAGATGTTGTACATCCTGATTATGTATGCAAACTCCGCAAGGCTCTTTACGGTTTGAAACAAGCTCCTCGTGCTTGGTATTTAGAGTTGGCAAAGTTTCTACATGGCTATGGTTTTCGGAAGTCTCGAGCGGATGCGTCGCTTTTTATCTATGTCAAAGGTCACGTTCGTCTCTACTTCCTTGTCTACGTCGATGATATTATCGTCACTGGTAACTCACTGCCTTCTCTTGACACCTTCGTCCGGGCTCTTTCTTGCTATTTTTCTCTTAAAGATCTTGGGCCATTGCATCACTTTCTCGGTGTTGAAGTAATTCCAGTTTCCGGGGGTGTGTTTCTCTCTCAGTGACAGTACATTCATAACATTTTATCTGATCACAACATGACTGATGCAAATTCTGTTAGCACTCCTCTTTCTTTGGCAACTCTACTGCGGTCCCAGGATGGTTCGGGACAGGCCGACCCTACTGCCTTTCGGAAACTACTGGGCTCTTTGCAATATTTGGCTCTCACTCGTCTTGATGTCTGCTATGCTGTGAATAAATTGTCCCAATATATGCATGCTCCTACGGTTACTCATTAGCACGCGGCTAAGCGTGTGCTTCGGTATTTAAGTGGAACCTTATCTCATGGTCTTTTATTACGTTCTAATGTGCCTATGCAGCTCCAAGTTTTCTCTGACTCCGATTGGGGGGGGCGTACTCATGATGGCGGCAAGTCTACTACCGCCTATGTTGTTTATCTTGGGTCTAGTCCCGTCTCTTGGAAATCTGCCCGACAGAAGACTGTGTCTCGTTCCTCAACCGAAGCTGAGTATTGTGCCCTTGCCCATGCTACTGCTGAAACTCTTTGGTGACAGAATCTGTTGCGCGAGCTTGGTGTGCCTATCTCTAGTGCACCGGTTCTTTTTTGTGATAATCTTGGAGCGACCTATGTCTGCAAGAATCCTGTTTTTCATTCCCGCATGAAGTACCTGGCCTTGGATTATTTTTTTGTTCGCGATCTTGTTGCTGCAAATTGGTTGCAGGTGCGGCATATCTCCTCCTCTGAGCAACAAGCGGATCTACTCACCAAACTGTTGGGTACGACCTTATTTACGAAGTTCCGGTCCAAGATTGGCGTCTCCGATGGATCCTCCATCTTGCGGGGGTGTATTAAGGATAAATAGCTAAAGTTGAATTTTGAATAGTGGTTAGGAAAGCTGTGTGCTTATCCCATGTTTCTAGCTTTGGATTTCCTCTCTTCCACATGTGTAAACTTGGTCATCCATGTACGTAGCTGTACTTAGTTGCTTACTCATGTATATAAATAGTCCCACACATGTTAATAGGAAACATTTCATTCTGCAATACTCTCAGGGCCGGCTACACCCATGGGCAGCAAGGTCATATGTATAGGGCCCAATTTTGGAGTGGGCCCCATTTTTATATCTACTCCATAATATACATGTATACGTATTTATTTATATAAAAACTAATAAAAGAACACTAAAAGGCCACCTCACTCTCTCTAGACTTTTGCTTTGGCCCACGATGCACCAGAAAATAGGTCCAATTTTGAAGGCCCCGAGCAGCTGAGCCCACGATGCACCAGGCTTAATTTTTTTTAAAAAAAATCTCTTTAAAAAATTACTCTAATTAGGTGATTAGCAATTGATTTTATTAACCTTATCATGTTCATGAATCATGATTTTAGAATATTTTTCATAATTCTAGCTTACTCTACAAATTTTAGTGTAATCAATTGCCCAATTGGAGTAAATAAATAATTTCAAATTTTAATATTTCATAAATTAGATTAGTTGATTTCATATTGATTTATGACTTTCACTTTGAAATGAATTAGATTGTATGTATAATTAATTTTATTTAAGATTACTAATTTTGTGTGTGGATTTGATTATTTGAAATTTTGACTTTGACATTTTATTACTCCGTATTTTTATTACTACAATGCTCTCAAGAATGCTAGAAAACTTAAAGAATCCTTAGTTAGCTATTAATATAAGCAATTTTAATTTTATAAGACTATAAATTTGACAATTTATATTTTTTAGTATTATAATATTAATTTTGTTAAATACACTAATTGAGAAAATTTATTTTATTATGGCACAATAACTCATACTCCCTCTGTCCCTAAATAGATTACAATTTTTTTCTCTCTCTTCTCGATAACTTTTGTTTGTTTACGCGATTTCATTAAGTATTTGACAAAATAAAATATTCTTGTCACTTCTTGTTTTGTAGAACTTTTGACGTAGTTTTTTAATATGTAATTTTTATATTTTATTGATATACCAATTTGTAAATAAAATGATTTCAAAAAGTAAGAAATTTTACTCCGTAACCCGTAATTTGTAATCAAATTGGGGACGGAGGAAGTATTTCTTTATGTCGTACAGGGCCTCTGATTTCTCGGAGACGGCACTGAATACTCTGCACCTTATACCCTATGCTCTTATTTCACTACTTAAGGGCGCAAATCTAAAAAGAAGGGAGGGTCTCCCTCTACATTCTCTTGATACTATTCAACATTCCATCTTTCAAGCTCCATCAATGCCTATCACGCTAATATGTTGTACATATATACTCCCGAAATATAATAAAACACCTCCATTGACATGGTACCTCAAAAAAGGTTGTGATTTTCACCAATTTGGTTTCCATGTCAAAGTATATTGTATATGCTCTTATTTATATATTTCTTATATTTTACACATATATTGTATGGACCAAAAAATACACACCCGGTCTATGAGGAAGTTTTTTTTCCAGGGATAGTTGGGAAGTTAATTCTCCGTAATTAATTAAAAAGAGGGAGGGTTGCCTACTCATATCTTGTTTGATTTCTTGTTGAAATACAAAAGGAAAAAAAGAAGCCCCAAACAAATCCTTCGAGCTGGAAGTGGGTCCAAGGCTAATATAATCCCCATTCCCCAAATTAGTGGCACTGATTAATCAGATGAAGATTTTCCAATGCAGCACAGTTGAGATATGCAATTAGGTTTGATGGTGGAGGATTAATCACATTAATTAATGTACAATAAATTAAGAAGATTGTCCTTAATTACGGACACGTGGCACGCGTGGAAGCGCCCACCCTGGCCCAGCTGTCAGCCCAAGTACGACGAACAGCGCGGAAATAAAAACAATAGCTTTTTGTTTAATGGTCGTGTGTGCTAATTGTGTGCTAATATCGACAAACAAATACAATGAAACATATGGGAAAATAGATTTCCCTAATTAATCCTGAGTCATTTATATACATTATAACACACGTCAATGCTAAGCTTCTTTTCTCTGTCTGTAGTACCCAACCCAGACCAGATTTCGTATCTGTGTGATATGATTCTCCTTTCTAATGTTTGCCCTTTACTGCATCATACCCCCAAAAATTTCTTTCCTGTTTTGATTTGGCACGTACAGAGATTAAGAAAAATTAAAAAATATAATAAAGCTCTTGATGTAGTGTGACGAAGTAAATAGTGTAGACGAAAACTGAGGGTATAATGACACATTTACTAGAAGATTTTTGCCAAAACAATAAGTAAGAAAGAAATTAATGAACGGCGGGAGTATTTAGTTTGCAAGAAGCTATTTGTACCGAGTAATTTACCTAAATAGGACCAAAACATAATGACTTTCTCAAAATAGGACCATATGTTTTTATTTTCCAATGTAGGACCATGGGTCATTACCTATTAGTCATTATTCAACTAAATGTCCAGCATCACTTGGACATTATTCTTCTCACTAGTCATTATTAAGTCCTATTTAGGGAATAAAAATGTTTAAGTCCTATATCAGGAAATGACTTATGTTTTAGTCCTATTCAGTGCAAATTTCACTTTTTATTAACGCACCAACACTTTGTGTTCGTGTAAGTTTTTGTTAAGGCACCTACACTTGTGTCGGTGTAAACCATCAAAATATTTATGTGTAACTGCGGTGTACAAATGAAGTACAATTTTTGGTGTAAGTATAGCATGGTCCTATGCTTTTATTAAAGAGGGTGAAAATAAAAATAATTTTCAAGATGCATAATATTTTTGACATCAATGATTTGATGTTAACCCACATTTTCAATAGTTTTTATAGCATTTTATCCCATCATCACCGTTAACTATATACTACTTCCTCCCTCCCATATAGTTAATTGTTCTCATTTTGGTTTTTATGAAATTTATGAAGGAACATTTTTTTATTAACTTTCCAAAAATATCTTTCAGATAATGATTAGATTATTAGTAAAAAAACCTTTGCGGGACACAAATATAAAAAAAGAAAAACTTTTTGAGAAGGGAATAACTATATGCTTCGTCCGTCCTAATAAAAAACGATTAACTTTTATCTTTTTTAGATGTCTCAAAAAAACACTTTTTAATTTTCAACATATATAATTCCAATCTCTTAAGTCCTTAAAATAAAAATAAAAATCAAATTATAAAACATTTATTGGGATGGAGTGAAGTTCTCGTCTAAAAATGTCTTGCACTTTTCAATAGTTTTGTTAGACGTAGTAATTAAGTTAAGCTATAATTTTCTTGAACCATCCTACATTTACATCAATAATTGTATCCAAACTTACACTAAAGATACACCAACATTTTAATGATTCATACTGATACAAAGTGTTGATGCGTTAACAAA